GACTCAACGGCACATGACAACAGCAACAAGAAGACTTGATGAATATGAATTTTCGTCTTGGCAAAGAGTATGCAATATACCATGGAATTCCAAAACGACAAACAAATCTGTGTTGGGAGAAGTGTAGTGAGGGTGTTTCTTAGAGGCAAGGATAGTGAGACATCATCTCTCACACTTTGACCATGCTCTCTGGTAGTACTCTCCCAGTGTATTTATTGTTCCAGTCTTTTTTGGATAATCTTCAGCAAGATTTTGCTTGTGTGTGGTATCAGTGATATTGTTCAATAATTTCCATACTCTGTTGGATCATCTTATTTTTTTAAAATTTTTTTATGGGAATACATGTGGATCTTTCCCGGCCAGGACGTTGTCCTCTAGATTGGCTGCCATGTGGAATGAGAGAGCTGACCATATTCAGGTGACATGAGGTACCTCTGGGCACTTCTTGGTGGAGCTAAAGAGCTTCAAGACAGTCCACAGGGCTGAGTGGTCAAGAGATAGAGAGCCAGGAAGAAGCCTGTCTATATGGATGGTCAAGAAACTGTCCTGACCAAATAACTGTATTCTGCATCATTTTGAGACTCTATCTTGATCCTGAATGGCAACCTATTACTGCCCTAATAAACTTGGTAATCATGAATACTGTCTGTAAGTTTTCAGTGGCCCTTGCAATGAATTTTAAACCCAGCAGAGACGCAGAAGGTGATATAAAAACTATGACTGGTGTCAGAATTGGTTTCAAAAACATTGGAGAGAGGAAGTATAGCTGACCTCTAGTTCATAGAATCAACCTTAGTCTGATGGTGATAATGATTCTCTTCCTTGTGATGTTAGAGGACACTGGCACCGGCCCCACCATTTTTACACATGCAGACGGTGCAATGGTGCTAACCCCTCACCCTACAGAGACCCCAGTTTGCTCCTGCAACTGTGAGGCTGTGGACATCCGTGATGGTTTCCACCATGATTCTCTGCTCATTTATTCACTTCCCTATGGCCACGGCGCGTGTAATCGTCACCAAGGAAAGACAGTGAGTCTGAAAATGGCCAGCTTAGTGTTAATCAGCTGTCTTCTTACTTAATGTCTTACTTATCTCTAATCTACTCAACTTATATCTGGCCTTTGTATCATGTCCACATGAAATCTCCAAGAGAGGACATATTGGAAAAGAGTAGGCTCATCATGGAGGGCGTGGTGAGTTTAGTTCTGTAACTGTGGGATCTGAGGTACAGACATCCAATGTGTGTTTGTAAATGTGGGGCCACAGCTAAAGGGAGAAGTCAAGCTACTGATACAGACTTGGGAGTCATCAGTAGATCAGTGAAACTTGAAGCCGTGAGACTGGAGGGAAATACGCAGGAGGCCACATCATATGAGGTGAGACAAAGGCTGGAGAGAAAACTCTGGAACAGCCTTGTGTGAAAATAGCCGGTTCATACTGACTTGGATCAGCTCATGGTGGTTCACTGAAGCTAATAACCGGCATCTCTTTCCAACTCTGCATTCAGAGATATCATGTTGATGTCTTCCACTCAGTCATGGTGGACGTACTTACACCAGAGGAGTTGGCAGATGCTGCAAACCAAGACTTTGCTCCCCAAGACAGTCAGTTGCTAACCATTGACCTACACACCCCTGGTTATACAAAGAGTTAACAAGAGAGGAAGCTGCAGGAGCGTTGAGACAGAGGAGCAGAGGAGAGGGAGGAAATGAGATGAGAATACTGTTGAAAGAACTGTTCATACAGAGTCACGTGATAAATGGGTATCTAGGAAGATGGGACCTCAGGAGGCCTGGACACTGTCGCTGAGGAGATTAACAGAGAAAGTGGACTGAGGAGAGAGGGGACATAGGGGCCAGACACCTTAGATGGTGGCTGAGGGGGCTGTGGTATGGGGACAAGCTGTTCAGTCCCTGGGCAGTCCCCGTGGTCCTGGGAGCCCTGCAGGACCCCTTAGCCAGACTGACTCAGATGTAGGTGTTCTATCTTGGGATTCTGTTTTCCAGGCTGCTTCTCCATCCAAGGTCCGAAGTCAGTGAAAGGCCTGGAGCAGGGCTCCGTGTCCGTGCAGTGCCGCTATGACCCCGGGTGGGAGTCCTATAGAAAGTGGTGGTGCCAAGGCAAATCATGGGACTTCTGCACCATCCTCATTGAAAGCAAAGGGTCAGAGGAAGAAGTGAAGAAAGGCCGATTGTCCATCAGGGACAACCACAGGGACCGTGTCTTCACAGTTACCATCGAGCCGCTCCACAGAGGGGATGCGGGCACGTACTGGTGTGGGATTAGGAAAAGTGGACCGGACCTTGGATTCCAAGTTAAAGTGACCGTTGGCACAGGTAGGAACCTTCTCATCCTGTGGGGTAGGGTGTGAGGCTGTCAGTCATTCAGGAACCTCCAGTCTGAAGCTGATAACCTGTGACCAACTTTGCTTGTGTCTAGAAGAAACAACTTCAACCACACCAACAGCTCAGTCCTTGGAGCCGTTAGCCATGTCCTCCACCTCCTACGGCAGGTGAGTCCCTGAAGTCTCTCCTCACAGCCATTAGCCATGTCCTCTGTCTCCTATGGCAGGTGACACCCTGCTGTCTCTCCTCCTAACTCTACCTGTGGCTTCTCCCATGGGGCAGCCAAGGTGAGGGGAGACCCCTTCTGCACTCTATCAGTTTTATAATCCCAGATGATGCAGTAAAGTATCACAAAATGGGTAGCATATATGAATAGGAATTCATTATCAGTGTTTCCAAGGCCGGAAAAAAATCACAGCGTTATTCATGTGGATTCTTCCCAAGGGAGAATCTATCCCATGCTTCTCTCCTATCTTCAGGTGGCTGCTGGTCAACCCCAGTGCTCGTTGGCTTGTAGCTGCATCATTGCAGTCTCTGTCTCCATCCTTACGTAGCCATCTGCATCTCTTTTATGTAGACACAGCTCATATTGCAACAGAACTCATATGTTGTTGTTGTTGTTGTTGTTACGTGCCGTCGAGTCGTTTGCTACTCATAGCGACCTTATGTACAACAGCCCTAAACCCTGCTCTATCCTGTGCCAATCTCATTGCCTCTGACACACCCATCTCGATTACCCCAGTCACTGAATCAATCCACCTCATAGAGGGTCTTCCCCTCCTGCGCTGTCCCTCTACTCTACCCAGCATGATGTCCCTCTCCAAAGACCTGTCTCTCCTTACAACATGTCCAAAGTATGTCAGACGAAGTAGAACTCATATACTTTACTAAAACTTCATGTTGACCTCTCCAAAGATCCTATTTCCAAAAAACATGATCACGCTCGCAGGTACCAAAGCTTAGGACTCCAACACACTTTGGGGGGACATAATTCCCTGCACAACACCCCTGTGCTTCGGCCTGGTACCAGTTATGTATCTCCATCGCAGCCTGACGGTATAGCCCAAGGCAAAACCCAAGCCCACCTTGTCTCTTCCTACATCACCCACCACCTTCCTGCTTAAATCCTCAGCAGAATATGCCTGCAGAGAATTCCTCTCTGTGTCTCATCCACCCATTCAATCAGCCAACAAAAAGATGACAATCTAGAGAGTGTCAAGACTACAGTCTCCATGAGGGGACACGAGTGACAGTGCAGGGACAGTTAGGTGACTCCTGGAGTCAAGGAAAATGACCAGAAATGACCTAGCAAAGGGCGGGAAAAGCACCAGACAAAAAGTCAAACTCCCTGTCATTGAGTCATGAGCCCTGTCAGGGCCTCAGCGCTGTGAACCTTCACAGGAAGAGACTTCTCCCCTTCCTCCTGGAGCAGCTGGTGACGTCAGACGTACACAGTCTTTTGGTCAGCAGCACAACACATCCCTGGCTGTGCCACCAGGGCTCCTGTTCCAGGCAGGGAAGCACATTCTACATCTGGGGGCTTCTAGAGAACTTTATGGTTAAACACTGGATCACCAATTAAAGGGTCGTCAGTTTGAACCCATCATCTGCTCTGCCGGAGGAAGAGGTTCAATCAGCTCCTGTAGCACTTACAGCCTCAGAAGTGCCGTAGATCCATCCTGCTGTTCTATTGGGTCCCTGGGAATTGAGATTGATTAAAAAAAATGGGTTTCCATGTTTCGTTGGAGTTCCTGGGTGGTGCAAGCAGCTAACACGTTTGACTGTGAATTAAAAGATTGGTGATTCTTCCAATCCACCAGATGCTGTGCTGGAGAAGGAGGGACAATCTCCTCCTGTACCAGTCAGGTCCAATTTGACAGTACACACACACACAAAAAAAATAATAATTTTTTAAAAAAAATATTGGCAATTCAAGTACACGCAGGGGCACCTTGGAAGCAAGTCCCAGCAATTATGCTTCTGAAACGTAAGCCATTGACAACGATTCTGCCCTCAAGCAAGTACGTGGGGTCACCATGACGACTAATTATTTGACTTGGCTGCTTTTGTTGAGATGACCTGTATTTTAGCCAAAGGAGTCTCAAAAGGAAGGATTCTAAAGGAAAGGCAGACTGATAGAAAAAGCAGCTGAGGTTGTTGTCTGAGCTTTTGGGTGGGTCATGTGGCTGCTGGTGGCCTGTCCAGAGAGGTTGCAGTGCCCAGGGTTCCAGCCTGAGTGGATAATGGCTCTACAGTATTGGGGCTCAGGGTGGGAGGGCAACGGGAGAACCCAGAAACTCCAGCCAGCTCTCACTCTGCTTTTCCCCCTCACAGGACCCACTTCATTCTTCTGGTATTTGTGAAGGTTCCCATCTTACTCATCTTGCTTGGTGCCATCCTCTGGCTGAAGGGGTCTCAGAGGGTCCCTGAGGTGCAGTAGAGTCAGCCTGACAATGCAGACATGTCTTTAGACCCTCTGTCTAAAGATACAGCCCTTTCTGTGGAAGAACAGAACCTTCCAAGCCGGGATTTGGCTCCAGAGATGATATGGGCCCTCATGGGAGAAATAACCACCGAGGCTTTGTACGTCATGTGCCCTGACATCCTCCCTGCTCTGCACAACTCTGGAAACAGCTGAGATGTCATCCACTCATGGAGTGCTGGCCCCTCATTCTCATATCTTCCAGTAACAGGCACCCCACCCCACTGGAATATGCAGGTCCAGGCTAGCAGGGGCCTGGATGCTGGAACATCTCTGGTGGAGAGTCTAGGACTGATGCAGAGAGAAGCGGCAGTGAGTGCCTCAGACACGGGCAGACCAACTGGATCCTTGGTTTCCGGTGTTCCTACGACAAGCTCGTGAGCTCCTCCTTTTATTACACTGGTCAAGCTGGACTTTGATGGCTCACGTACCTAGGAACTTAACCATCCGCACTCCAAGAGGGTGGTTTTGTGGTGAGCACCTGGTTTGGAGAAGAGCGCTGAATATCCCATGGACTGCCGAAAGAATGACAGATACGTCTTTGGAAGGGTGTAGGTAGACTATTCCTTGGAGGGAAGGATGGGGAAGCTTTGTCTCTCGTACTTTGTACATGCTGCTAAGAGAAGCTATTCCTTAGAAAGGGATAACATGCTTGGAAAGGAGTAGGGTCAATGAGAGAGAAGAAGACCCTTGATAAGATGGATTGACGTGGTGACTATAGCAATGGGCTCAAACGTATCAGAGATGATAAGGATGGCACAGGGTAGGACAGGATTCGAGTACGTTGTTCATTGGGTCGTTGTGAGTTGTACTAAACTCAATGGCACCTAACAACAACAACCTGGTTTGGGACCTGAGCAGGTTGAATTTCCCCTCCATCCTGAGGAGATATCCTGAGTCCACAGAGCTGAAGAGAAACAGGAGCCCATCTCGGCCCAGTCCCAGTGCTCCACCCCTCCTCCCTCCTCTTCCATCCTTCCTCCCCAGGCTCCCTGCCCACTCATCTCCACTCAGGGCTGAAGCCTGGGACTCTGACCCTTTAGTCTACTCAGGACGCCTGCTCAAGTCATCTCTTGTGTGGTCGTTAAACCTCAATACACTACCTCAAAGGGAAGGGGCAGATGATTAAAACCGTCTGAAGGGAATAATGCCTGTTTTAAATAATGTTAATGAAAACATAATTTCTGTTCAGGATGTTGGAGGAGTTTGGAAGCAGTCTAGATGGTGATAAAGCATGAAGAGTATAATTCATGTCACTGGACGTACATGTAAAATCATCGAAGCTGCGAAAACCCAAAAGTCTGAGAGAAAGGTTATTACTTCTTTTCGTACCTCACATATAACAAGGACATGAATCAATGACTTTATTTTGTGCTATGAGGGGCAATGACTTTACTTCATTTGAGGAGAAACAGTACAATTGAGATGTGTTTCTGCTGCGCACACACACACACATACACACACATTTGGAATGCTTCCCTTTGGATCTGTTTGAAGTTGTATCCTCCCTGCCTCTGTCCTAATGGTGTGCTCTGATAATCTGCAAATGCTAGAGAAGAGAATCCTCATATTCCTAGCTTAATATGTGTGTTTTAAACTGGATTCTGTAGAGAAGCAAAACCAGTGAAGTAAGTGTACACACACACACATTCCTACCCCTTGAGGAAATGGCTCAGCAGCTGTAGAAGTTGTCAAGGCCCACTCACTGGGTCAGAAGTCAGGCTGACGGCCTCTCCTGACTCATACAGCTACAGGAGCTAATGAATCCACTTTCACCTGGTAAGATGGCAGGCTGCTGGCTCGAGTTTGAAGACACTCTCTTCACTCTGACACAGTGCATACCGCTTTTCACTCTTACCTCTTCCCAACCCACCACACTGGCCCCTGAGTCCATAAAACATTGAGATTTTGTCAGATCTCCACTGGAAGTGAAGTAGATCCCCACGACCTCCCTGATGCACCTGCCTCCCTCCCGAGCATAACTCTGAGAAGTATGAAACAGAGAGGACTTGGTGTTTTCCCCCTCAGGTTAAACAAGTTGTTGTCAAGTTGGCATGAACTCATGGCAATCCCTAGTATGTCCGAGTTGAACGTGCCCCGTAGGCTGATTTTTCAGAAGGAGATCATGAAGTCTTTCTTATGTGATGTCTGGGTCGGCTTGAACCTCCAGCCTTTCCCTTGTCAACCAAAAGCATCAACCATTTGCACCATCCACTGAGTCCTATACTGTTGCCATAGTCAATAAAGTCTTGGCTATAACTTATTTTGGCTTCTTTTTTTTTTAAATTGGTTATTCTGACAGCTGAGTTCATGCCTGACCCTCCGGTGTGTTTTCAGAGGCTATAAAAAAGCACAAAAAGAGATTGCGCCTCCTTCTCCCATGGAGTCGCTGGTGGATTTGAGCCACTTGCCTTTGGGCTGCCAGTGCAACTTCTCACCACTAGGCTACCAGAGCTCCCCTCCCACCATCCAGGATAGAGGAAAAGACTGAAAATAAAGAAATCAACCACTAGGATTGGGCTTTCACTTCCTAGCAAATATGTTTCACTTAAGAACTGAGTAGAGAAGGCCTCGTGTTCTTAAATAGTTATCGACTATAACTCTGCAAACACTAAGGATTTACTATCACCCCAAAGTTGATGAAGGCAAAGGGGTGAAGAGGTAGACATGGGTTGCTCCCTTCTGAGAAAGCATTACTTCTCCTTTATCATGTTCCTCCTCCCTGGTCCTGTACTATCATGTGTTCCTCCTCCCTGGACGTGTACTGTGGAGCAACTGCTTGACCACAAGGGAAGTTCACTTAGAAAAGAGAGTTAACTGGCCAAGGGCAGGAGAGGTGACAGCATCATACACCGGAGAAACATGACTGTGAGAGAGGGTCCTTACTGGGTTTGAGACAAAGGCTGGTTTCTCCACGATGCCAGCTAAGTCCTGAGCGTTGTTTTCTTAGAACATGAGACACAGTTAAAGCCTTCCTGGCACGGCTCTCAATCTACTCTCAGAAGACCCACCTCCCCTTTGCTCGTCTGTCCTCACCCTGTTTTCTGTGGCTTAGCTTTCCCTCGTGGCTGGATCTGCTGCCGCTCTTCCTGCAGTCACCTGCTCACTTTCCTGCCTCCTATGAGGCTGAGGGTTTAGCCTTTAACCAGAATAGTGGTTGATAAACAGCTCGGGCCACTCTCTTGAGACCCCAGTGCTCATCTTTGTGAAGATTAATGAAAAAAAAAACACCTTGGGGCCCTGAGCTCCCTCTGAGCTCCACTCTCACAAGCCCTTTAGAGGGATGGCACCGTTTGCTGTCCTGCTTCTCAGTTCAAGTTCATGGTTCCCAGATCACCTGTCCTCAGGACCCCCACACCTCGGCTTAGGAACTCCAGTTCCTAACCACTTTCCTTCCTCGGCCCTTCTTTGTGCCTGTGACTCCAACTCAGACTTTGTATTAATGAGTCATCTCATTTCTTTAATAGCCAACACCCGGTAGCCTCAAAACACTGGAGGGTACCTGAGAGAAGGGCCAAGTTGAAGAGATACCAAGGACATGGTCCAAACATCCATTACGTGACGAAGAACTAAGAAAATTGGGGTGTATTCATATGATGGGGGCTACTCAACCTGGATGTCTGGATGGAAAGTCTGAATTTGCTGACATGAGCCTGGCTTGTCATACCCAGTCCTACTACGCTGTATCGAGAGTGGGGATGTGTGTTTTAGACAACTACAAATATTCTCTTTTTTTTTACATTTCTTTTACTATTATTATTAATTTTATTGAAAATTTACAGAGATTTTGGATTTCCAATCATTCATTGTTGCACTTTTCTTCCTGCCCACCCCCCTTTCCAGTTTGTTCTTCTCTTTGAAAAGCAAAAGAAAAATTCTTCCATTGTTATACAATCCCTCCCCCCAAGTCCACTCCACTATGCAACCTTTGTTTTGGACTCTTTTCATGACAATAATACCCAATCATACGTCCCTTTTAAAAAGTTCTCTCCCTCATCTGTTTCAATACAGTGTACATTTTTTTATTTTCTTTTATTATTTGTATGTGTGTACCATCAAATCAGATCTGACTGGTACAGGAGGAGATTGTCCCTCCTTCCCCGGCAGAGCATCTGGTGGATTCGAACCATGCACCTCTGGGATTGCAGTGCAGCTTCTTGCCACTAGGCCACCAGAGCTCCCCTACAGTGTACATTATTAATCCCATCTTTCTCAGTCTCCCTCCCAACCCCGATGTCAGTCCATTTGACAACAGTAGCACTATGCAGTATTGGACAACTGCAAATATTCTACGGCGCTTTCGCCACCTTTCAGAGCAGAGAAGGATCTCGATACCACCAGGAAAGAAGAGCCAGTAGCATAGCTTGTCAAGCCAAGAATCTCTACACACAGGGAAGACTGATGCCAAGTGGAGACGTCCAGGGAATGCCAGGCCCACAGATGCTGAGAGAGGCAAGAACACTGTCCCATGGGCAACAGAAGGAGAAGGCCTTCCCCCAGAGCTAGTGGTCTGAATGTGGACTTTCGATCTTCTAAAGGGGAACATTGGTGGCCTACTCCATAGCGAGTTGCACCTCCAGCCCAAAGGCCATGCTTCTTAGGGGTTCATGTCCATCAGGGGCTCCACAGGAGAAGACGGACAATCTCCTCTTATGCACTTTATAGTCTCTGAAACCTATGGTGCTCAACTCTACGGCAATGAGAAAGAAAAGGACAGAGAGGAAGCCTTCCAAAGAGTGAGAGAGAAACTTTTTGTTTATTTAAAAAAACTATCTCCTTTTGATATTTCTCTTATTTCGGCACTGGAAAACTAAGACATCTGGGGAAATGTGAACACTTGGAGACACGAGACTATCTCCTTGCGGAGTGGAGATTGGGTAGAAGATGTCCAAGATGTCCACCACAGAGGCTTTGCCGGAACCACCCTCTGCTGTCTGGCTCATCTCACACCTTCTGGATCCCTGGGTCTTGGCAGAAGCACAAGCTGCCTGCCCTCAAGATTCTAACTCTTTCCTTCTCTCCTCAGTTTCTTGGGCCAATCATCTACACAACAGAGGCTGCTTTTGTAGTCAGAAGGCTCCTTGAAGTACAGGTTCCAGAAGGCTCCTTCTGGGGGAAGGCCTTCTCCTTCTGTTGCCCACAGCTCAACATTTACATAAATCATCACACCTTTTGACATCCCAGGGACAAACCCCTAATTGTGTTGAGGCTTTCCTCCCACTTGACCATAAAGTATAACAACAATCACAACAGTGTCTCCACTTCTAGCAGTTCACTTACTTACCTCTTGAAGAATCTTCTAAAACTGTGAGCTCACGTCCCATAGAAAACTGCTCAAAATCAAAATCTCCTTGGAGCTCCTTGAGCGAAATGCCCTGGCTCACACGGAATACATTCTTTGCTATAAACTGCCATTGACAACACAGAAGGTCAAAGCTTCAAACTTAAGAGGTGCAAGGTCACACAGATTTCACGGCAAAGATAGTGGTGAAAATAGAGGATCCATGGAGAAGCAGCAGGCTCAGGAAGCCCAGGTAGCTGTTCCCACCACGCGTGACATCTTTCTGCCTGTGTCTGCTGCTGTCAGCAGGAGTGGCTGGAAAGATCCCTTGTCCCCTACACAGGACATACCTCAGGGTGTCCCACCCCGAGCTCCTCCAAGCTTCTCTCTACTCCTTTGTCATCAAAGTCGGGATTTTAATCATTACAGGAACGTGGATATATGGAAGACATCTACTTAAATAATTCACTTATTCTCTCTTGATAAGGCCTTTTAAAGTTTATTTGATATTGTATTAAAAATAAGCCTAAGGGCCTAGAGGAATTCGCCTGTACTGAGTCCCTGGATGTCGTTCCTGGATGGCTCCACCCCAGGTTTCTGTGACTTCTTGCTGCGTGAGCATGGTGGTCCACGTGCGTGAGCATGGTGGTCCACGTGCGTGAGCATGGTGGTCCACGTGCGTGCGCATGGTGGTCCACGTGCGTGCGCATGGTGGTCCACGTGCGTGCGCATGGTGGTCCACGTGCGTGCGCATGGTGGTCCATGTGAATGCACAACTAATCGCAAGATTTTGGGGTCGTGTGCTTTTTCAGACTTGTGTTTGACATGCAGTACTGCTCTTCCCCCAGGAGCAAGGCCCTTGAGGCTTGGCCTAGGGTTTAAAGCAGGCGGTGGATTAAAGCTCCAAAGGGCTCCTGGGCCTGTGACCCTCAGGCCTGATTCAAATTATTTTCCTGTCAAACATTCTACATGGTACAGCACTCTCCTGTGCATTGCTGTACAGAGGTAACTCATGGTTGCTGTGATAAGAAACACTGTGACACTGATGTGCCAAATCCGATAATGGTCACCCACGGTGGACAGTGTTTGATGGAGCTTCTCAATTAAAACAAGCTTGGAAGCAGGAGTGGTGTCCACTTCCAAAATGGCTTGCCTCTGGAAACTCTATGAACAGTGCTCGGGCCTTTCGTTCATAGAGTCACTATGAGTCGTCTACTACTCGACCGCACCTAATAACAACGACTGAGTCCCTCTTTTCTCTTGGCTTGGATTTTTTGTTTGTAGTTGAAGATCTTTGTTGTTCTCCCCGGGTCACCCCACAGGTGAACCCAGTTCTTCTTTGACATATTCAGGGCTCCTCTTCCAGTTCTGCCCACCGCCGGCTGAGCCAGGGCACGTCTGTGAGGCTGCGGCTTATAAAGGAGTCTCCGAGCGGAAGGAATGGTTCACCTAGTCATGACTGACTAAAAGGCTGTGTGGCCTGTCTCAGGAGGAAAGATTGGCGATCTGCTCCTAAAAAGTCAACACTGGAAACTCTAGGGAGCACGGGTCTACTCCGTCACACACAGAGTCCTCACGAGTCCACGTTGACACGGTGGCAACTGGTCAATGGAGCAGGAGTTACAGAGTCACGTGCACATACCATTCACCTGTGCCACACTTCTTCCTGGAGACCTAAGGGAGCAGGGGCACCTGCGCCCACATACGCGGTTAAACTGAAGCACGGGGAAAGAAGTAAAATGCAACCACTCAAGTCAGCAAGATTAGAGGGTTCCCTCCTTACTCTCTCCAAATTCTCACTCCTGTGAGTCTCATTTCTAAAGTTTTTACACTTTTTACAATTTTTAAATATTATTTTGTGTGTGTGTACTTTCAAATCGGATCTGACTGGTACAGGAGGAGATTGTCCCTCCTTCTCCAGCAGAGCATCTGGTGGATTCTAACTGCGTACCTCAGGGGTTGCAGTGCAGTCATTTATAAAGTTAACGGATTGATGGTCGGAGAGGGAGAGTCCGCAGGGAGTCCAGCTGCCTTGCTGGTCATTACTGAAGGAGCAAGCTGGGTGGGAGTGCGTGGTGAGGGTTACAGATTCATCTCTGGACTTCTGTGGCTCAGGGAACACGTATATGCAGACCTTGGAGGTGGTCTTATCTCTTCTTTATCACGCTGTATTCTGGTTCTTCCCTGGGACTCCTGGAAGGAGTCCTGGTGGCTTCAGAATCCTGATTCTGGCCAGTGAACTTCACCAAAGTGTAATGAAGCTCTTCCTTGGGTTTAGACTGCAGAGAAAAGACTCAGTGTCAAGGACTGAATTGTGCCCCCTAAAAACATATGCCCCCACTTGCTAGGTCTCGAGTCTCAGTATTATGGCATGATCAGAGGATAATGGATAAACTCCAAATGGAGTTTGGGGGTCTGATGCGATAATCTTGCATGTTGTAAACCCCTAACCTTTAAGACACTGATGAAGCAGGATTAGAAGCAATTGTGTCAACGAGACTTGACACAATCTATGTTATTAGAGGGTATCTTGAGTGAACGTCTTTTGAGAAACAAACAAACAAAACATACTAAACAAAGGAGTAGGGATTGGAGAGATCACTCCAAGATAACCACCAAGAAAAATGAAGTGGGGATGGAATTTGTCCTTTAACCCAGAGTCCCTGCACAGGGAACCAGTCTAGAACCAAGAGACATATAGAAAAAGGATGCCTACCCCTGAGCTGGAATCCAGATTAGAATTTCTAGCCTCTTAAACTGAGAAAATAAATGTACCTGTGAAAGCCATTCACGGTATTTCTGTTACGACAGTGCTTGATAACTCAGCTACCCAGTGAGATACAAAGGGAGAGAGAGGTCACCAACTCAGGATCAGGGGAGAAGGAACATCTACGGGGCCGTGGGAAGACCAGTCCTGAGGGTTGGTGCCTCCCACTGTCCAGGCCCCTTTCTCTCTCAAGCCTTTCCCATCAGCGGGCTCCCCCATTCAATGTATCCGCCTGCTGCGGACTCGACTCTACGCACCGGGTCAAGCCAGAGTCAAGCCAGCCCACTCTGGAGCTTGGAGCTCGCAGAGTCAGGAGGGCTCCTGGGGTCTCAGGTTCTGACCCTGCCTGCCCCACTGTGAAAGGACGAGACTGAGACCCTGAAAGATGTACAGGATCCCACCTGCCTCCCCCCAAAATAGCCTGTGTGCTTCTTTTGAGAAACATTCAAGAGCAAGGTGGTTGAACGTTCCTTTCTGAGGATTCAGAAGAGTCTACCAAGACCCAAGACTTCCTTGAAGAGCACAGGCCAGCATCGGCTTCTAGGGGTCACTGAGTCAGCTCCCCCAACCCTCCTCCTTCTCTGCCCACTACCCAGGGGGGTCTGGGGCTCGGGAGCTGCACCCCACACTCACCACTGTGCTGTACTCCACCTCCACATTCTGCTCGTTGGGAGCTCTGCCTGATGTGTGCAAGGTCTGAAGCGCCAGGTTTTCGTAACACGGCTCACTCGGCTCAGGGAGCTGGGGCTGAGGCTGGAGCGGGGAGGAGGTGAGTTTGGTGAATGTCCTCTGAGCTCTCCCTGATCCTGCCTCCAGCCTCTCTGTTTCGCTGCTCCTTTCCCCTCAATGTCCGGGTGCCCCTGTTCCAGCCCTCCTTCCCTCTCCTATCATCTCCATCAGGGGTTCTCTGGGCCACTTTTGGATGCTGCCCAGGTCAGTGGCTGGACTAGAAGGACCATTGTCATTCCCCTTGTGACCAGTTCTCAGGACAATACCCAGTGACCCAGGCCTTGGTTTGTGACTCTGGCCGAGAACCACCCTTCACCTCTGCGTGATCCTCTCAACCATCCAGTGGTCAATGTCACTGTCCTTCCTGTTCCCAGTCAGCCCCCCCAGAGCTCCTTGGATTGTGGCCTTTTCTTACCTGGTTGTGGTTGTGGGAGGTCTTTACATTCTTGGCAGCTAAAGAGACAGGAGAAGAAAAAGGGGTGAAGGCAGAGAAACCCCAGAACAAGGGCAGGGCCAGGGTTGGGCATCCAGGACCCCTCTGCAAATAGACTTTTCCCAAGCGACTCCCGCCCTGGGAGCTGCCGGCTCAGGTAGTGTAATCGGAACCCAGGAGTTCGGTAAGTAACTGAGCACAATTCAAACACTTCTAGGTATGATGGGCAACTTCCAGGCTTACAGGGGAGGAGCAGAGAATTCTGGGAAGACAGCAAGGACACATAAGCCAGGAGAGAGCCCAGCGGCACAGCCTTTCTCAACTACAGTTTCTTGTTGTTGTTGTTGTTGTTGTTCTTGGGCGTTGTTAGGTGCAGCAAGTCCACTACGACTCATGGAAACCCTGCGTGGGAGGTGCATCTACGCAGAACGGCAGTTAGGAGACAGATCCCCGATAAGAAGAGGAAATGTTTCTGTCTACACGGCCTACACACATCTGCTAAGACCAGTTTCTCCCCAGAAGTCTTAGCTGGACTCGGCAGAGGCTAAAGTCCTCAGGAAGGAGCTCTGAGGACCTAGTGGTGGCTAGTGGCAAGAAGCTGAGCTGCAATCCGGAAGGCACACGGTTCAGGGCCACCAGCTGCTCTGCAGGAGAAGCATGGACAATCTCCTCCCATGTGATTAACGGCCCCTGAAAACCCACCAGAGGGTCAGCTATGGATCAGTTCAGACTCAGTGGTTCACAACAACAACAACAACAATCAACCCAAAGGCATGTAGTTTGGATCCACGAGCTGCTCTGTGTTGAGAAAGATGGACAGTCTCCTCCCATGTGATTTACTGCCTCTGAAAACCAGCTGGAGGGTCAGCTGTTGGTCGGGTCCTACTTGATGATAAACAACAACAAATTGCCCAGGAGGGGTCAGAGATGGGGTTACAAGGAGCAGCGGGCATTGGCTCCCTCCTGCTGGCACAGCAACCTCTCAGAGTGGACCTTCACTGTCCATGGGGCTGGACTCCATCCTCAGGATGCAAGGAACCATGGGAGTTTAAAATAGAAGTCCTCTCCTATATTCTGTGACCATCCACCTCTGTGGGGACCACCTTGTGAGGACATGTCCTCTGGGGCTGCCCTCCAGGCCACCCTGCGACACATGATGTGGGGTCTGTGTGTGTTTGATGTGCATTTTGAGATGGAGGACACAGAGCTCAGAGGACCCCTGAGCAGGGCGGGGACACAGCTCACCTTTCCGCCGTCTCCGGGCCAGTCTCCAGGCCACCAGGGAGGTCCCGGTCAGTAGGAGCAGCAGGATGATGACCACCGAGAGCAGCACGGGGAGCCTGGAGGGAGGACACAGGACGGGGTCAGGGGGCCTGCGTGCTCCTCGTTCCCAAGTTTCTCAGTAGATGAGAGAAAAGCTGCACGGCCGTCAGGTAATCCTGCCTCGCAGAGACCCTGCAGGACGGAGTGGACTGCCCACGGCGGCCCCCCAGGCTGTGAGCTTCAAGGGAGCACACTCTTCCTCTTGTGGAACAGCTCACCATTCTTGTGGCTAACAGTAGCCACTTTAACCACTGGAGCACCAGGACTCATCGTTAAGTACACGGATAAGGGTCAAAGAAACAAAACAGACGCGAAACCCAAGCAGGCTGTGAAGTCTTCTTTGTACACACACCCTCTGCCCCGGTCACTCTCCACACCCACCCACAATGCTTAGGAACCTTCCAGAGACACTTGATCACATCAAAACCAGATACACTCACTGCTATTGAATTAATTGCAGCTCATGGCGACCCTCCATTAGACTTTTGAGGCTGCAAATCCCAACTGGAAGAAAAAGTCCATCTTTTTTGAGCAGAGCCTGGAAAATCATGCTTCCTGAGCAGGGCCTTTGAGTTTGCAGCAGAACATGCTATTGACAGAACAGTTAACGACAAGCAGATTGCGACTCAGGGGTGTATATGATACAGATATCACCCATTTGTATGTAAAACCATACAGGAGTCCCAGTGGTTGGTTTTGTAAAAGCTCAATTGCATAAGCTTTCTTCTAAGTCATTGCTGATGGGTGCAAATTTCTATTTCTTTTTTTTTTTCTGAAATCAAGTTTTATTTAAATAAGTTTAAATACATTACATAACATTAAAACTGCTGTTCATTCATAGGGTCGCTATGAGTCGTCTACGACTCGACGGCATTAAACAACAATAACAATGACGACGACCAAGAGAGAGCTACGTTGGCCTAGTGGTAGGAAACTACACTACAATCCCAGAGGTGTGTGGTTCAAATCCACCAGATGCTCTGCTCAAGAAGGAGGAACAGTCGCCTCCTGTACCAGTCAGATCCAATTTGACGGTACACACACAAAAAATTTAAAAAAATGCATCTGGACAATATGGGGCTAGGTAGACATGGTAATGAATTAATTATTTTAATCAATATAAAGTAATGTAATAAAATGATATATCTATTAATGATTTTATGAAAAATCAACAGGATTTATAAACCTTCACTCAAAAATAAATACACAAAATATGTATCTATAAATTGTTATGCAATATTTCCAACCTTGATAGACAATAAAGAGATTTATAAGATATTGATAATAAAATCCAGTAATAATGAACAAAAAATGATATATTAAATATATAGATAGATTTAGCTCCAAGAAAGTGCTGAAGTATTTGTGGAGGCCCAAATCCACAGACCAGATGTCATACTAGAGGGTCCTCCTTACTGTCCCAGCTGCAGGGACTGAAAAATGAGAGACTGGCAGGTCGGACTCACTGTAAGCCGCTGACTTCCAAAGAGGATGCATCCAAGATTGCCAGGTACGATGTCAGACTGACAGCTCAGTCCAAAGGACTGGACAGCACAAGCAGAATCCAAACTGAACAAAAAGCAAGAAAATTTGGCCATATTTTCTATACAGACAGGCTACACCTCTGGTCTCTACTCGCCTATCAGTTTGCTGTACCAGGGTGAATGGCCTCTTGCTACTTTGCCAGAAACTATACTACTACTATTTCAAATATCTGCCGGCTAGCCTGATGGACAGCTTTCAGTGCGGCTTCCAGACTAAGAATAAGAACCAGGACTGCCCAATCACTTCTGAAATAACAGATCCTCAGAAAACCAACAAACAATGTCAGAGCATGGTTGGATCTTGCCAGAGAAGCCACTCAGGTAGGAAAACATTAAAAATGAGACCAGGTAAGAGCTGCTTTCTCAAAGTAGAATCTACCTTCGTGATCCAAATGGAGTAAAACCAATGAAGGACCTCCATTTGCTAATGTGACAAGATTCCAAAGTGAAGAGAAACAGCAAACATTCATTAATAATTTGAAGGTGAACTATGTAAAGTACAAATGTAGGAAAATTGGAGGTTGACAAAAATGAAATGGAATGCGTAAAGATCAACAACAAACAACAGTGAGACCAATGGAGCTTAGAGGTCTCAGTGGCACAGATAACTTGTGACTGGTGACCAAAGGCTGAAGGTTCAAACTCAGAAGTGTCATGGAAGAAAGCACAGCAATAGGTTTCCACAAGATTGAACCAAGAAGACTCTCTTCAGCTGTTCTACTCTGTAATCCACGAGGGCAACAGGGTGAAAGGAGACTTGACAGTAAGAGCTTCTGAGGTTTTTAAATGGACCTTCAGCTTTAGATCCCACACTCCCTTTTATGTCTAGCTTGTATTCATTATTTTAGGTAAATTCCTAGCCTTTAGGCATCCTCAGACCTAGCTTTGCTTGTGTGTAAATATCTAGAATATCTAGGGTCCATTTCCAAAAGAGATGTGTTTGGGTCCAAATGTCACTATGTGTAATATTAAGATTGGACCTCCTGGAGTCTGTAAAATTTTGGGAACATCTGTGGATCCCAGACATGGTTTATGATTACAATTATGTTTTAAGGGAGGAAATGAGAGTCTAGAGATTATTTTTCAGACTTTCCATGACCTTGGTGACCCCAAAACACAGCAACAGGCACTAGAGGAATCCAGCTGCCACATGAAATGTGCTCTGTTAGGATCTTCCAAAGGCATCTCGGAAAGCAGGCCTACAGAGCTGACCTTGAAAACCGTGGAGCACGACTGTACTTGGCACATGGGGGTTCACTAGTAGGAATCAACTCGGTGGCAACCACCAACCTTTATGGTTTAAAAGAAAGAACCCAGCACTTGGAGCCACATAAATCAGAGATGGTGAAGACGGCACACGATTGCTCTGGATTCAGGTCTACTGTTCTTAGAACCACCATGAGTCATACTCAACTCAACGGC